AAACTGGCTTCTTGTTTTACTCAATGTATTGTGATGGTTAACATCTCTGGGCCATTCAGGGATGCTGATTAGCAGCAAACGTAGTTCTATCCAAAAGTTATGTGTAATGTGTGGACAACATCCCAAAGGTGCTTTTTTCACAAGGCAACTGGACTTCCTTGTTTTTCTTTGAAAACGTTTCGCTTCTCGTCCAAGAAGCTTCTTCAGCTTTAACTGGATGGTGGGGGAAAGTTGCAGTCCCTCCAAGTAATTCAAAGAGCCACCAGCTCTGATTGTACCAGTTTAATTTTCATCCATGAGCTTTTATTTCCCCAAGCATTGGCCAAGTGGTTTGATTTTTTTCCCCTTTTTAGCCAGCTCTTCTGATTTATGAGTTTCTTCCACACTGCCCTTAATGAGGAGGCCAAAGCGAGAGCACTCCTTCTGCTCCTGAAGGAGCCCCTGGGCCAAGGGGAGCGATCCTTCACACTGGACATCTGCAGGGGTTGGGGGCCAGGGTCACGCCAGGGAAGGCAATAAGCAAGAAGGAAATCTCGCTTAGATCTCACTGTGCTTTAGAACAAATCCATCATCTCGGACGTGACCGGCATAGAAAAGAGGAACTTCAGCTAAGATGCTGTTAAGGGCCAGAGCTGCTGTTAAGGGCTGTAAGTTGTTGCATGCAGATCCCGGGCGGGTTACTTGCCAGAAAGGAGACAAGCTGATCCAGCACCATCCAGCTTTTTGTTCCTACCTTGGGCAGCCAGATGTCTGCAAAGCCCTCTAAAGATGATTAATTTTTCCTGCTCTTCTCCCCCTACAGCAATATCAGAGTCACAAGGGGCCTTGGAGGTCTTCTAGTCCAACCCCCTGCTCAAGCAGGAAACCCTATACCATTGCAGGCAGATAGTTGTCCAATCTCTTCTTAAAAGCCTCCAGGGATGGAGCAGCCACAATTTCTGAAGGCAAGCTGTTCCACTGATTAATTGTTCTAACTGTCAGGAAATTTCTCCTTATTTCTAGGTTGCTTCTCTTCTTGATTAGTTTCCATCCGTTGCTTCTTGTCCTGCCTTAACTTTCTTCCAACCTGGAGCTCTTGACAGTTATGGTCTTCCTGGATTTCTCTAATTATTATTTGTTGGGATCTAAGTGGGTGATTCACATCACTAATCTGGTAATAAAAGAGGATCCATCTCCTTTCCTCAATAGCCAGGTCCTTCCTTCCTTCCTTCCTTCCTTCCTTCCTTCCTTCCTTCCTTCCTTCCTTCCTTCCTTCCTTCCTTCCTTCCCTCCCTCCCTCCCTCCCTCCCTCCCTCTTTATCAATCTCTCCTTCTTTCTTTTTCTGTTTTTCTCTTTTTCTCTTCATTACCTCCTCCTTTCTTCCCCAGCAAGCTGATTCGGAGTCTCAGTTGATATGGCAGAAAAAAAAGAGTTTCTTTTCTGCATCTGAGAAGCCTTAATACGTTTTTGCCTGTCAATGTTTCACCCGGCCTTGGAGCTTCCAGAAATATCCTATTGTGCAGTTTTGCTTCCTTAAACATTAGGGTCTTCTGTCTGGGTTCAGATAAAAGATTCCTTGTAAGATCAAGGCTTCAAGAGGAAAGAAGAGCGTCCTCCATCCTGGAAAAGATATGAGGGTGAATTCAATATTTGTAGGCTCGAGAAAGAGGAGGAGACCCTATCAAGTGTGGCTTTAATTTTCTGGACATTTCTCTTGCTTCCCGTGTGCCATTTCCCCTTCCGAGAGTGGCGGTTAATTCGGCACAGAAGCCATTCGATATAATGGGGTTAATTCTGTTCTCAGGCCAGGCGTCTGATAGATCAAATGTTTTCCTCTGCATCCTGAAGAATATTTAGGAGAGCCTCTTTTGTAATGATGCTTCCAGAGGTTTGTGACCCCCAAATTAATATGGGTAGTTGTATTCCAGCTAAGCCCTGCCTTCAGTAGATGGGGGAAAAGGGAGGTGGAATTGACCTGGCCAGACCTTCTTTTGTGAGAGAGGCATAATAATCAGGCAGTTGAGTAAAACAACTAATTGTCTGCATAGTCAAGACCTCCTCTGCTTTCAACAGGTTGTTTAGTGACCCAAGTTACAAAGGGACTGAAAAAAGTGACTTATGACCATTTTTTGCAGCCTCCCTGTAGTCGTGAAATTTACATTCAGATGCTTGGCAACCGATTCGTATTTATGACCACTGCAGTGTCTTGGGGGTCACGCGATCACTTTTTTGGTTACCTTCTGACCAGCAAAGACAATGGGGAAGCTGGGTTCATATAACAACCACGATACTAATTTGACAACTGCAGTGAATCACTTAAGAACTGTGGCAGAACAAAAAATATGGGCCAAAATTCACTTAACAACTGTCTGGCTTAGCAACAGAAATTTTGGACTCCCTTGTGGGCGTTAGTCAAGGACGGCCTGTACGGGCCCTCGGAGAGGTTCATGTAGTTTGTCTTGAGATCAGGGGTGGGGAACCTTGGCCCTTTTATGACTTGTGGACTTCAACTCCCAGAATTCCTGAGCCAGCCATGCTCTAAAGAGCCAGCCCTAAAACTCAGGGGTCCCTCTGGAATAATAGCAAGAAGAAAAGAACTAAATCCAGACACACCAGTAAAATTTGGAATGCCAAGTGGCAAAAGCAGAATAACACACTCATTCACACACACACACACAGAGATTACAATTACAGTTCCCAGGTTTCTCTGGAGTTAAGCCGTAAATACTGCTGGAATTGTGGGGCCCTTAGAGCTCTCTGAGCTTCGTTGTTTTCTTGCAGATCTTTCATTATTCAGCTAGGTAACATCTAATAACTGATGATGTTACCTAGTTTGGTCATGAAACATCTGCAAGACAACCATGAAGAACAGGGGTGGGGAACCTTGGGTCTTTTATGACTTGTGGACTTCAACTCCCAGAATTCCTGAGCCAGCATGGCTGGCTCAGGAATTCTGGGAGTTGAAGTCCACAAGTCATAAAAGAGCCAAGGTTCCCCATCCCTGATCTAGATGCTGGACTCTTCAGAGTTAGCCCTGGGCAAACTTCAGCCCTGCAAAAATGCAGCGGCCACAGCGCGTGACAGGCGTATAAATTCTACTTTGCCGTGAAGGTCAGAATCCCTGCAATAAGCGTGCTGATATAGTAAAACCCAGAGATAACCAGAATTGATTCCTCATCCTCCCGCTATCAACCCTGCTCTTCGACTCTGTTCAATTTACTGCATACAGGATGATAAGGACCCAAAAATACAATTCTGCTCGCTCAGAACCAGCTGATTCTTCTTCTGCTTCACGCATGGCGCCTTTGCTAAACTAAAGGAGCCGATTCAGGGACACCGGTGGGATTCATGAGGGATGCATCGTCCCCAGCTATTCGATGAATTAGACTGTTACAAGAGGGAGTTCGTTTATACGTTTTTCATGTTGGCTACTACAGTTTGTATGATTAGGCCTTGAGGTGAGACAAGTGGTCCTGGTTTGCTCTGTCCAGTTTCCAAAGATGATGATAATGATGATGATGATGATGATGATGATGATTAATGCTTAGAGATGAGCCTGTCTTCAGCTAAATTCTCCCTTGACTCAGATGCTTTGTGGCTGGCCTAGAGTGTGATTTCTGAATTTCTGTAAGCTTTATAAAAAAAAGAGGCATTTATTCACGCGATTGTCACCTACACAGTGTAATGATAATGATGATGATGATGATGATGATGATGATAATAATACTAGTAGTAGTAGTAGTAGTAGTAGTAGTAATAATAATAATAATAATAATAATAATAATAATAATAATAATAATAATAATAATAAAAAAAAAAAAAAGTTGGAAAGGACCTTTGAGGTCATCGAGTCCAACCCCCTGTTCAGGCAAGAAACCCTACACCATTTCGGACAAATGGCTGTCCAGTCTCTTCTTAAAAACTTCCAGTGTTGGAGCATTCACCGCTTCTGGAGGCAGGTTGTTCCACTGGTTAATTGTTCTAACTGTCAGGAAGTTTCTCCTTAGTTCTAGGTTGCTTCTCTCCTTGATTAGTTTCCATCCATTGTTTTCCATCCGTGTTCTCTCCTTTGACTACCTTCAGCCTGGCTGCAAAAGATCATCTCATCTTTGCTTCTGGATTCAGAAAAAACAACAACATTAAAACTCTCCATTGGCAAAGCCAAAATTTGGTGCTGTTGTGCTGAATGAATGCCAAAGAAGAGAAAGAAAACATGATTCTTGGAACTGTTTCTTTTCTTTCTTTCCTTTAAAACAAGACGGTCGAGATAAGTCCCCAAAATGTTTAAATATAACCTGTAAGCTGCCCAGAGTCCCCTTGTAAGGGAGATGAGCAGCATAAAAATTTAATAGATAAATAACAATAAAATATTTCCCTTGAGTGATTGGAGACTGGATCCAGAGTTCACCCAGAGCATTTGACTTGTTAGCTACCTGGACAAGGTGAAAGGAAGCCACATCAACCCTTTTTAAAGAATCACACATTTTAGAGCATTTCAGAGGGTTGAATTTTGTCTTGGAACAAAAGGTGCCCCTCCTGCTGATAATGGCCCGACTCGCACTGACACAACAATCCATACTGGGTCCATTTAGTGTGTGAAAACATCCTGATTGGGAGACTTGGATTGCCCCAGCAGGAGTTAGAAACGTTTCAATCTTGTCTTGCAGAATTTTACCGCCACCCAGGTCCCAAAAGGTTCCCCAGAAGCTGTTGAAATAATGGCTCCAACTCTAAGTAGAAAGGGAGCCATTTAATGTTAAGGTGTTTCAGGTGACTTCACTTCCTAGGTAGATTCTGAGTTGGTGTCTCCACCCAGAAAAGGTTGCTTTTGCAGGTTTGATTAGAGAGGCTGTGTGAAACTGATAACCATTTCTGGCAATTATTATCCACTCTGCCAACAGTGTTTTTAGCACTCGTTCTCTGCCTTGTTGAGATAAGGAAGAACACCCAACGTCCCTCTGTGTGACACTCTCCCTCCCTCCCTGTCTCTCTCTTTGTCTGTGTGCGTCTCTCTGCGCAGGACCTGCTGTTTAGTGTTTGTGCTCTCAATATCATCTCCACCATTGTGTGTGCGTTGGCAACGGCGATGTGCTGCATGCAGATGGTCTCGTCCGATGTTCTGCAAATGGTGAGTGAGAGACACATGTCCTCTGGCCAAGCGACAAGGGGAGGGTACAAATGAGGTTTGTCAAAGATGGGGTTGGAGGGAGGTTTTACCTTGGAATTGAGGAAAGTCATAGTTTCATTTCTTTCCCAACCACTATGAAGAGTGTCTATGGCGAATCTCAGTCATCCAGGTCGTGGTTGTCCCAAAGGTGCTTTTTCAGGCTCCACACCCATCTGCACCACTCAGGTGACCCTGAGGACCCAGGTAAACCTGCAGGTGGCCTCAACGACTCTCTAAAAGAAGGTAAATGACCAGCTGTCTGTAAGGAATATAAATCTTTCCACTCCCCACTATCCAGTTAGAGCTGAAGAAGCTTCTTGATGAGAAGCAAAATATCCTCAAAGAAAAACAAGAAAGTTGTCTCTTGAAAAAGCACCTTTGGGACTATAAAGAGTGGTCAGGTGGGCTTGTGAAGAGCCAAGTTCAAGCCCACCATCAACCGTGGACCAGCCACAGATTCTTTCTGTCTCTGTCTCAGCCCAAATTGGCCCACAAGGTTGTTATGAAGAAACTGGAGGCTAAACTACCTAGGCTGCTTTGATTTTCCAGAGAAATTTTGATATGAACCTATCGAAGGAATGATAAGAACGTGATGATTTCCAGATGCCCATGTCACCTTATCCTCAATGATCTTTTGAGTCAACCAATCACCCCAAAACATTATATAAAGCAAGCTTTGGGGAGAAAATTAATATATTTAGTGAGCTTTTAGTGTCTCAGCTTTGTTCCTCAAATTTTTAGGATAGAATTTCAAATACCAGGATGGTAGAGTTCCAATGCTGGTCCTTTTTTTTCATTGCACTTCATGTTATTCCTCTCCAGTCCTTCCTTCATGTGGAAAATAGAAGCCATGTTGTTATCTCCAGCAATTCTATTTTGTAAGCTCTTATGTGGTTGCAGCCATCAAATCAGTTTCTGTGCTTTGTGACAACAGGTTCCATAATTGAACCCAATTCTCTCTCTTTTTTTTTTGAGGAGACTGAATGAAATTCTGTAAATGATGGGCAATACTTCTGATTTTGCTGGAATTGCTGTTTAAACAATCTTCTAAATTGGAGACCCGAACGGAGCTGAGGTCTTGACTAAGCTTGCTGCAAATTCGCCCTAGCATCAAGGGAAGATTAGTTTAAATTTATTTTTCAGACCTCCAGGAAAGAAATATTACTTCTTATTTTATTTTGACCACAGCTGAATATTCCAATTCCCTGCATGGAAACGACATTAACAGTCATGCTTGGTGAAAATGAAACAAGGGGGCACTTTTAAGGTGGCATGTGGCCAGTTTGCATTGTTCTCTTCAAGACTATGCCATTTATTATAAAATTTATGGACCACACACTTTATCCACAAGGGTGCTCTATGTTGCATTTAAGAAGAGGGCAAATGTAGTATAACTGTGATATTGCAAAAGAAGAAAGCAAAACAGCTGGTCAGCCCATAAACAACCAGTCAGCTAATTTTCTAAAATGTCATTTGAATTCCCTGAGCCCAAATATCTCAGCTGATGAACCACCAAACAGAAAGCAATTGGAACTTCAAAGCCTAGGTGCCACCACCAAGAAGACCCTGCATTTTCTCAAAGCATTGCATAATTATCCCACCAGGAAAGAGCCTCAACTAAAGCTTTATTCTGCAGAGAGATCAACATTTTAGATGTTGTTCCTTGCACTGATTGAACCCTAAAATGCTTGAGGTTTTAAAAGTAAATCTTGAATTAGTCTTCTCGGCACATAGAGCACTGTTTTCATTCCAATTACATTAAGAAAAAGGGCACGCATCAAAAAAATGCACAGAAAAATTGCTTGCATAAAGCATTCAGGTCAGGGAGAAAAATACGTGCGTACAAAACACCCCTTCAGCATCGTTATTCAGCCAATATATGATCACAACCATTGCTCGGGGCACCTGCTCTTTCAACCTTTGCTGGAAAAATACTTAGATTTGCTGGCTATTATAATAATGCTCCATCTTTTTTGTTTATGTCACCCAGTTCTTGCCGCAGAGGTCTCATTCTGCCAATCCGGATTGCATGAGCCCTCATGGGACTATCCTGCATCAGACATTGGACTTTGACGAGTTTATTCCTCCAATCCCCCCGCCACCTTATTACCCACCGGAATATACCTGCACACCAGCCGCAGAGACGCAAAGGTGACCCGCCTTTCCTCTGGACATGCTACACTACGCAACACTCCCGGGGAGATGAACCGAATCTCCGCTGAAAATCTCCCCGTTGTCTGGCAGGGGCCGAGAGCTCGCTTATCAGTTCTATTTCTAGATCCTAGTTTGATTTATACATAATATGAAGAAGTTTGCTTAGCTTTTGGCTTCATTCTTTGCTTTGAAAATGATGAAGTATTTCTTGAGATGCATTTATATAACCCTCTAAGCCAAAAGCAAACCCAGGTTAAGGCTTAACATTAGTGAACCCAGTGGGTGTAATTCCATGAGTTAAATACGACAGGTGTCTAATAGTTCAAATACTGATATTTTCATTTATTTGGTCTTTATTAGTTGGGAGAGCTGACCTTCTAATTATCAGTTATCTATCTATCTATCTATCTATCTATCTATCTATCTATCTATCTATCTATCTATCTATCTATCTATCTATCATCTATCTATCTATCTATCTATCTATCTATCTATCNTAATAATAATAATAATAATAATAATAATAATAATAATAATAATAATAATAAAGTTGGAAGGGACCTTGGAGGTCATCTAGTCCAACTGCTCAGGCAGGAAACGCTATACCATTTTGGACAAATGGCTGTCCAGTCTCTATGTGTCTATCGGTCTTAGGGGGTAAAATATTTAATGGATTCCTGGAGCACAGTTTAAATATTCATCTATGCACAGCAGTAAAAATAATAGATCCAAAGCAAGGGTGTCATTTCTTCATTCTATGCATGATGCATCAAGCGTCACTTGTGAAGAAAAATGTCTTCCTGTTGGACAAAAATTTACCTGTGGAATTCTGGCACAGCCCTGCCTAAACCCACTGAAATTAGCAAGATAATTAGTCAGGTTAAGCCTGGTTAATTAGGACGCCTGATGAATTGGAGAGTTTTCATTGATCCAACTGCTTGAGCATTTAAACCATTGCATTGTAGTGGCTCTATTAACAGGCTCTGTCGGGGGACCAGGATGAGGAAAGTCAAGATGGTGGCCGTCTTCCTATGATCAGAAGTTCACGCCATTTTTGGACGTGTTGCACTTGGAACAGATAAAATAGGGTAGAGCTTCATGGACAGGGCTGTTGTCTTCACTTTTTTGAACCCCACCCCCCATTTGTGTTTTAGGGCTTTCCACCTGGATTTTCCACACTCGCCCTTCAGCGCGTTATACGAGGTGACCATCAACAGCCCTGGGATTCTATACCCAGCCGAGCTGCCTCCCCCTTACGAGGCGGTTGTCGGACAAGCTCCAACTAACCAGGTTAGCGGGCATTGCTGGGAGTGGACCAAGCGCATGGAGCAACTTTGGAAAGGTCTTAGTAAAATCATGGGATCTCTAGTCCTTCCTCTGAATGGAGATGGATTTGATTTTCACCCTTCATCTTTCCAAACTGTGTCCTTATCTTCAATAAACAGTTGCTCTGAACTCTTCATCCATGACAACCTAGCTGAGCTTTTATTTTTCTCCTCATTTTTCATAGGTCACCAGTATGGAACAGCAAATCACGGAGTCCAACTTGGGAGAGCGAAATGCAGCAACAGGTTTCCACAGCCATCGGTCTCCAGGCGAGTGTTAAGAAAACTTTTGTGGCCCTCTCTGAGTAGGGTTTCTCACCCACTTGGAAATGGGTTGTTGTATGTACACTGAGTCCCTCTTCCCCAAAGCCCAATTCTGCAGGAGAAGAGCAGGTGGTGCTAGAGAGGATAGAGTTAAGCACATCATCCGTGAAAACCTGTTCAGATCACTAGTGTAGAGGAGAGCCACTAGTTGATGAATGAAATCTATGGTTATTCAGTGGTGGAACCAAGAATATGGAAGGGTTCTTGCCCTGTTGGTGCTCATTTCACTCAATGTTAGCATCTTGAGATGGCCTATTTGGAATTCCATCAAGACTTTCCACTTTTTTCCAGCCTTGTCAGATGGCACCTCCCAGATGGCCACCGTAGTTGTTCCTCTCCCCAGTCATCCCTGGTGACTACTCCTCCAGACTTTTGTTCTCTGGATGCCCAAGAACCTTTCCTGTCCTCTGATTTCTTCCCAGGTGGTCTTGTAGGAAGAGAGGCAAGAAACAGAAGTTGCTCCAGCCTGAACAATCGCAAGTTAACCCAGACTTGCTTGCCAGACTCTCCAGACGATGAGGTCAGTGGCCACAGCCAGACCACTGTGGACCGGCCTCGTAGCAGGACGTGCTCTTATAGCCGGCTGTCGGACTGTTCCTCAGAGAGCGTTGGTGTTTCTGAGAGAGACTCTTTTGGCTTGGCCAGAGAAGACAAAGCCACCCCCTCATCTAAGCCACTGAAGATGTGCTGTGGGGTCTTCAGCCAGCCAGCTGCCCCACAGACTCCTTGCACCCACTGCTCAGTGCCTGTAAACAGTTTGCCCCACAGATGCCTCAAGAGGACGGCCCAACAGAGGGCAAGGAAAAACGCCATTTGCAACATTGTCCGATCCACTAGTGACCCTTTATCCTGTTCAGCTACTACAGAAGGTAAGGAGTGTTTACGAATACGGGCAGCTCTTTCCTGATCATGGTTTCCATTTGTTGTCTAACCATCGTTCATTCCAACATCAACCCCAAGAAGGCCCTGTCTCACATATTTATAGAGCATGACGATTGTAGAGCTTGTAGGACTTTTCAGATCTTAAAGCCCAGGTTGGCACATTTGGGAGTAGAGACTTTTCATTTCCCTAACATGTTTATTCTTGTTATAATTCAAGCTGCTCAGGTCAATGTTTGTGATTCCTCTTCCCCAACCCTTTTGTCCAATAACTCTGTGACAGCAAGGGAGTCATTGGATTAAGCTCATTCTGGGAGCATAACAGAACAGCTACAAATGTTCACCAGTAATTCAGGCCACCTCCTCACTATTGGATGTTGGTATGAGAGGGTTAGGGCTAGGAAATAGCATTGTGGAAAACAGAAGGCCAAGATCGTCCATATCAGTTATAGAATAAGAGGTCAGGAGACAGAGAGAATTGTTAGATTGTAGATGGAGGAGAATTTTGCTTCCGAATTACCCATGCAGTAAGGACTTCTTGTACTGAATAAGAGACAAGCACATCCAGCGTGGACCACTAACAGGATGAAGCACAGATGAAATATGCTACTCATTCCCATGGACAGGAATCTTCTCAGCTCAGGGTGAGCACCTGCTAGGAGTTAGATAAGGGTCAATGGAATTCAGGGGAGGTTGAACTTTGCTTGTGGCTACGTAGGGATTCTAGGCTGATCCCTTTTTTGACACCACTCCCAGGTTCTGCCAATCCTTCTCATACACCTTAGGCCCTAATGGTGCACTTGGGAAAAGTCTTCTCAGAAGAGAAGTCATAGTCTCTTCAGTTGGTGACACTCTCATTTTAGGAGTCATGAGGTTAAGGCTTACAAGCTGGGCAACATCTCTAGGGTGATTTGGTCACCATAAAGATCCTTAAACTAGCCAGGTATTACTTCTCCACTCCCAGTGGTGACCACACTGTGACTTCACTTGGTGTATGTCCAGTTGAGCTACCATTTTAAAGCTCCTTTTCTCCCCCTCCGTCCCCCCCCCTTTTAGTTCCTGTGTCTAGTCCTCACGTGGCTGCCTCTACTTGCCAGGACTCCAGGAACCGTCTTGTGCCAACCGGAAAACCAAGGGACCCCCCAAAAGCCGAACTTTCCCAGAAGCCAAAAGTCATACTGAGCATCTGCAAAGAGCGGCCCCACTCCTTGGTGGACCTACAGGCCTACAAGGACACTAAGATTCTGGTGGCCAAATTTTTGGAACATTCGAACTGCAACTTGACCCCAGAAGTGCGCCACGTGGTCAACAGGATCCGGTCTGTCATCAAGTCTGATGAACGGTACATGGAAGAAGCCATCTTTAGTGCCAACATCATTGATCAGGTGAGTGGCCTCTCTGAGTGACTCAATGGGACCAAGATGGGTGAAGAAGAGATGAATCAATATGCCCTAAATGGCCAGGTCCTTCCTTCCTTCCTTCCTTCCTTCCTTCCTTCCTTCCTTCCTTCCTTCCTTCCTTCCTTCCTTCCTTTTCCTTCCTTCCTTCCTTCCTTCCCCTTTCTACTGCTTCTTTCTTCCTTCCTTCCTTCCTTCCTTCCTTCCTTCCTTCCTTCCTTCCTTCCTTCCTTTCTTTCTTTCTTTCTTTCTTTCTTTCTTAAATAAAACCCCAATTGAAACCACAATAAACTTCCACTCCCCTGGTGACAACAATCAGCCCAAGCCCTTGATGGGCCCTGCACCACCGTGTCTTTTATACCTGGCCCTCTCTTCCACAGGTCATCATGGGCTCCCAGCAGAATGTGGATACCTCAAGAAAGCGGCTTCAGGAAGACCTCCATCTCCAGAGCTGTGGAGCCCTAAGCTCTCCCGTTGCCTTCTTACGCAGGGCCCCCGTCACTCATGCCTTTGAAAGAGGAAGACCCCACAGTTTAATTGAAGTGTGCCGAGAGACCATCCTTTGACAATGAGCCTTTTGCTCTGCTGAGGAATACAAACTCTGCAAAAGAGATTGTGAGGAACCGGGTAATGGATGGAGATTCATCCCCTCCATGGCTGTCTTTGAAAAAGCAAACGGAAACTCAACCAGTGTCTCTGAAAGAGTCTTCCTCTTGTAGAGGTCCACGCTAGATTTTTATTCCCAGGTCTGAGCGCTCAACTCTTCATGACTACATATTCAACCATGGCTCTTTTATGGAAAACAAATTGCTTCTTATTTAACAATGAAACAAACAAAAAACCCACCGAAGCGTATCTTTTTCTCCTCCTACCAAGGAATTTCTTTTTCTAAGTTCTAAGGGGTATGTCTGGGGAGTAAGGGAGAGTGGGGTGGGCTGGGGCAGAGGGGGGTGTGGCGAGGGAAGGAAATAAACTTTCTTGCTAAGCTGCAGTGATGCTTCTGTACAATTTAGGAGTTGCATTTTAATTACTGTACCTTGAAAGTGTTTGCACCAAATCTGAACAGTGTTTTCATAATTAAAAGGGTATTTCTGGAGATGACAGACTTCCAGAACTGATTTTGTGCTGGCAGTAGATCTATCTCTCCCTCTTTCTCTCTCTGCTGTCATTGTTGGGTTACTTGAACTGGGAAGAACGAGAACAACATTGAGAATGTGGTTTCCAATTCCTGATTCCAATGTGGTCACTAGCATCGTATTTTGTTTTGGAGTTTATTAATTTCCATTTTTTCACAGCCCACATTTGGTGGACCTTAGGAAATTCAAGTTCAAACTCCCCATCAATGACTGAAATTCACAGAGAACTTTGAACTGGCTGCATTCTCATTTCTTGAGAAGATTGGAAGAAAAGAGTGTTTTGTACATCACTGTTAGCTTCTGAAGGAAACGTGGAGCAGGCATCTAACCAATTCCTTTGTTGTTTTGAGAACTCTTATTCTGCTCACTTAGGGCTCTTTCTTCAGAACTCCACTCTTACTTCACTCTGTCTTAAGGAAACCAATGTAAACATCTCCTTTTGGCCTGGTGGTTTTCTAGACAGTGAAAACACAACTTATATCACCCCATAATATCTGGCTATGCTGGCTAGAAATTGTAGAAGGTGAGGTCTAACCCACCTGGTTTTCCTCTTCTCCCCCCATCTATGGCAGGAGCTTCAAAGGTTTGGAGAGAAGAATAGTCCATCAAACATCCATCAAACCACCATATTTGGAAAGTGCCTTTTGAGCATGAAGCTACAGTGACCTCCAGTGGAGGACCAAGGAAGTTGGGTTGCTCACCAACTGGTGCTCCTCAGAAGTCTGCAAGACCAACTTCTGATGGGTAGAAGAAAAGCCAAACAATGCATTTTCTCTACAGCAAGACCTTGTCCTTTTCAAAGACGTTGTGGGTGCCCATCTTCCCACATGTTCCTTCGAAGGAGACGGAGGCTAGATACCACCAGCCTTGGCTCAGTGGCCTGTAAAACAACCAAACGAAGCTGCAATTGTTTTATTACTCCAAATTTATTAGTGAGTATAGATTAATTCTCTCCTAGGGTCCCTTGCATGCAACAGAGCTCTACGGTGTTACTCCTTGAAGTAAAGTAATCCTATGGTTTTACTGTAGGCTAAGGCTTCTTCTTTTTGTTTTTTGTTTTGGTCACAGTGTCATTTTTCTTCGAGGCCGTGGACCACAGGAGAGAGGAAAAGAAATCGAGACGAAAAGAGTTACATCAGTTGACATTTATCTCGTAATGAACACATGATACTTACTATTCCTTGGTTTATCATTGCCACAAATCTCTAATACTGCTGATGGCAAAGACTTTGCATTCGGCGTCACTGTTTACATTCAGACATGTTGGCTCAGGAGAATCAAAGACAAACAGAACAATATTAAACATTCTGATATAAAAAAGTCGCATTTAAGCATGGCTTCCCGAGAGTGAAGTTCCAACAAAAGGGTGATATGGAAAGTGGTGGAACGAGAAAAGAGGATCCATTTCCCTGGTTTTTCCCGACTTGCAAAACTCTAGGAACAGTATTTTCAGCGTTAAAAAGGATCGGTCTCTCCAAAACAGAAATGTATCTCATTTAAATAAATATCCCACATTCGTATTGCAAAGATTCTTTCACTTTTTTTCTGGCAGGGATATTGAGAACTCCCAAAAAAGAGTTTGTTTCTTTTTCCATATCACTCACATTCACTCTGAAACCTTCCTACTTCACATACAAACCACGTCTCATCAAAAGTCACATTACACGTGACAATAAGGATACCAATGACAACAGCAGGTTTTGTTTTTCATTTGATAGCAATGGACACTCTCCCACCCCCAAACCTCCCTCCAGCACCCCCCTTTATAACGGCACCCATCCTTAGTCGTTGCAACAACCCGCCAGTGTTGGAACATCCAGCGGAAGCCACCCCACTCGGAAAGGACCTGTTTCCATAGACTCGTTCACACGTGCCTCGTGGCTGAAGGTGGTGGCAGAGATGGACAGAGGGCTACGGACATGCTGGAATCACCTTAGAGTAAAGTATTAGAAGTACAGCCCACCCAGAACGAGGACAATGCAAGTGTCTCTTTGTAACCAGAAGGTTGAAACAGCCCTGGGGCTTGATCAGCTGCACGGTGGACTTCATCCTGAGTCATGACGAGGGAGTCTGCCAATCACGTGGCTGGAAAGATGGTGTCAGTGGTTATTTGCCATAAAAAGAACATCATCATCTTTTGGCAAGGTTTTCAAAGGAGAGAGAGAGGTAAACTAAGAAACAAACCAACAGAAGAAGGCAAAGGAACTGGATCCATTGAGTGTCCAGAATAGCCAGTTTTGGGTTCAAACCGTGCCCGTTTCCTACAAAATACAACATTTCTCTGGAAGTTTAAGCTTAGGCAGCAGGATGTGGTTTGCTTGAGGAGCAGTCGAGCTTCCCTGTTGAGGAGCAGTCAAGCTTCTCTTTTAGATGTAGAGTGGAGTTTCTTGACCAGTGAGCAGCCTGAACATGGCAGCAGGCATTGTCTTCATGTGAATCTGTTTGGAAGAGAATTAGTGATGATTCTGGGACTGGAGGCTTCAGACTGGATGCCTACAGCCATTCTTCATGGTTGGTGTGGACCTTGGACATGGCCAAGCTAACCATGAAGGTCAAAGCCCATCGATAACCAGGGCACAGATGGAAAAGATGTTTTCCTAAAGCCATGGCCAAGCACAGTATACCTGATACCTAACAGTTCTCACCCTTGTGAAGTTCTATGTTCTCATGAGCTCAAGGCAGGCTACGCAGGGCTGTGCAGGCCACAAAAATGTCAGGGCAACAGCTTATTTCCCCCTGAGAGAGCCAATGCTGAACTTGATGGACAGACCCGGACAAAGATGGAAAGACAATTTCCAAGGTGCGGAGATATCACCCCTAAGTAGAGGACAAAGAGCACCCTCAGCCACTTCTTAATGGCATCTTGGAGCCGTGGTGGCCCAGTGGTTAGAATGCAATATTGCAGGATAACTCTGCCCACAGCCTGGAGTTCGATCCCGATGAGACTCCAGGTTGACTCTGCTTTCCATCCTTCCAAGGTTGGTAAGGATTGTTGGGGGCAATATGTTGACATTTGTAAATCACTGAGAGAGTGCTGTAAAGCGCTATAAAGCAGTATATAAGTCTAAGTTCTATTGCTATCTTCTCAAAGGTGCTTTTTCAGGAGGCAACTGGACTTCCTTGTTTTTCTTTGAAGACATTTCACTTCTTATCCAAGAAGCTTCTTCAGCTCTGACAGGGTGGTGGGGAATGGAAGGAATGAAGCTCTGACCCTATCCAGTCAGAGCTGAAGAAGCTTCTTGGATGAGAAGCGAAATGTCTTCAAAGAAAAACAAAGTCCAGTTGTCTCCTGAAAAAGCACCTTTGGGACAACCATGACCTGCATGAAGGAGAATCTCCGTAGACATACCGCTATCCTCCTTCATCCCCTCTGCCATCCTAACTGTGAGGCAACTTGTCAAGTTTGGCATGACATCTCCGGCCCCTTTGCCTAGTCTGGAATGTACTAACGGTTCTTTCTTTTGATAAAAAGAAATCAAAACTCTTTAATATCCTGTTATTGCTGCTAAAAAAAAGGCATGCTGGGAAGACTCACCTCTCCTACGGAGTTGGACAAGGCTTGCACAATCTTCTCATGAGCTGTAGCAACGACACTTTGACCATTGATCTCGATAATGCGATGCCCCACCCGGACCCCACCTCTCTCGGCAATCCCACCTCGCATCAAGCTGCAGATCTGGACACAGAAAAGGAGACATGTTCAGTTAAATGGAAAAGGTGCAGTTTGGCCAGAAGGTTTAGAAACAATAGGAAGGTCTTCTTCTTCTTCTTAGCTATCACATTACAGAAATTATGCATTTCTCTTGGTTGATGGATTCAGTCTTTGACCATCTGCTATTCTTCACCTCCTTCTTTCCAAAGGTGGGCAAAGAGAGGGCAAAAGCTACTCAACATTAAGAAGCTAAGATGACGTCAAACCCAACATCAATGGGAAAAGAAGGTGTTGAAATAGCAACAGTTGATCTTAGATTTAAATATTTACAAGGATGGTTCCTGTAGCCATGAAATGGTGCACCGATAATGTTCTCTAGTTGGGTCATGAGACATCTGCAAGCCAACAGTCAAGCTCAGAGGTCATGAAGGTCTCCACAAACTCTGATGATGCCTCCTTAGCATTGTCTAAAGCTCCTGATTGATCTCCCAGGTCCCAGCCCTCCAGTGCCTCTATCCTAATTGAACTGATATCCCAATCAGCCTTCATCGGGTTCGTGCAGTAAAGGAGAACGATAGTCAGGGAATTCTCCTAAAGCCCCATGCTCCTCATGCTTTTAAGTGTGCGCATTCCCCAAAGGAAACACCACACTTCCTGCAAGTGTCAGCTGTAGAACAGAGTAGAAATGGTTGCTATGGGAATAGGTCCCTATGCACACACAATGCGCATACAAATGGGCTTTAATTCCTTTTCTTGGATACATCCCGACTCTGGGAAGCACATTCTTTAAAAAAGTCGGTTAGGAC